GGCAGGGGGGGGGGAGACACGCCGCATGGCTCCAGCTGGGCCCAGCATTTGATTAATCGCCTGAATTACCCTCGCTTTGCCATAAAATTACAAGTCGGGAGGGGGGGAACGGTAAAAGCGAGCCGGCGGGAGGGCGGGCTGCAACGGCAAACCACCCCCCGGCTTGTCCCGCAGCCCGGCACCCAGTGGCACAGCCCGCCGGCAGCGTCTCTGCGGAGGGCAGGACCCGGCCTACGGCACTGCGGGGGCAGCCGGCACTGTTCTGGCCGGGTCTCCAGCCCAGCTCCGTGGCTCAGAGCCACCTCTATTATTTAACCAGGAGCGATAGAGAGGAGCCTGCAAGAGATAATATGCCATGACACCGGATAAGAGCTTCTGGCGTCACAGGGGAGGAGGATTACATGTCCCTGAATGGAGCTGGAGATGACAGAGGGGAGGGGAAGAGTTTTTAGCAGGGGATTAAACTTACAGCTCCAGGAAGGCTTTGGGGGGTTGTTTGCCAGTGTAGGACAAGTCCTAAGGCTGATATACCTGTTAGACTTGCCTAGGGAGGGCTCCTGAAGCAGGGAGCCCATCACTGGGGTGGGGGCAACGAACAGGTCCTCAAGGACAGCCCTGTGGCTGCATGAGCTCACGCTCCAGCTCTCCAAAGGGTGCCAGAGAGATGGCGGCAGATACTGGGGTCAAGGGATGGAGGAGGAGGATGCACATACCAGGCATAGACTGGCCCTTAGGCCAGTCTGCATCCCACCCCCACCCTGCCCTTTTCTACTGGGGAAGAGGGTGCAAGCATCCACCAGGAAAGGTGAGGGCCAGATCCCCTACCTTCATCTTGGAGGCAGGCTGGATGAGCTCCGTGATGGAGACCTTGTCCTGCTGGAGCCTCCTCTTGACGAGCTTGGAGCAGCAGATGTTGACGGAGCTGAGGACGTGCCAGGAGTTGTACTCCACGAAGGAGCGGCTGTCAATGACCAGGGTACCCTCCGCTCCGTTCCTCAGGAGGCTGGCCAGCTTCTTCGGGTCCATCACCTTGCGTGGGAGCCTGTCCCCAGCCATAACGGGCCCGTCCCCTCTATGGTGAGTGGGGGGCAAGGGGCAGAAGGGCAGGGCAGGGACGCCAGCACCCGTCTCCCTGAGGGGAATGAGCGAGGGGGTAAGGGGTGAGCAGGGCAGCACCCGTCCTGGTCTCCTCACGCTGCTAACACCCAGGATGCCAACTCATTGTGCTGAACCTGGAAAGAGATGAAAGGAGAAGATGACCGGTCAGCTGGGCAGGATGTGACACTCACCTTGGGCCAAGTCCCCAAGGGCTTGGCCTTCAGAAGAGTGTAAGAGTGCAACAAGCCACACTTTCTAGGTATTGTTCTCCCAGCCTGCGGGCATCTGTGGCTCCAGAGCTGCCCAAGCCAGAGGTTTTCTCTTTGTATTTAATAGCCCTCAGCGGAGCTTTCTTCCATGAATTTGTCTAATTGCTTTTTGAAGCCATGTCAGCTTTTAACAGGCACAGTGGCCAGTGGCAGGGATCTGAACGGTTTGCCAGCTACAATGAAGAAGTCCTTCCCCTGGTTTGCTCCAAATCTGCTAACCAATGGCTCTTCCAGGTGACCCTTACTACTTGCACTGGAAGAGGCCACACATGCCCATTCCCTAATCACCTTCCCCATGGTTCTCACCACATTTAGACCTTGTTTAGGAGCCTTTCAGGTCAGAGCATCTACAGAGCCGCCTGTTGCACAGGTGCCTTTTGCCACCCCGGCCAGCCTCAATGCACCGTGTTTGAGAGGCAGGCACACCAGGGACCTGCAGGAGGCAAGATGTCTCCTCCTTTCCCTGTTCCCAGACCAACAGCTCCTCGCACTCAATTTGCTTTTTCTGACCTCTGCCAAGCACAGAGCTAATGGTTTCACAGAAGCAGCTTAGCTCAGCTCTAAGGTTTTGCTGCCGCATGGTAATAGCTAGTTCAGGGCCCATCAGACACACCACCAAATCAGGTTTGCTCACCCACGTCCATCACTTCACACTGGATTTCACCTGCTTTTTTATCACAGTCTGCTCATGGGTATCTTGCCAGCTTGCCTCCTGGCAAGTCAAGAGCAGATGACCTCTCTTGGAAGCCAAGAAGTCGAGTTGACCTTCACTCCTGCCTTCAAGAAACAGGCCAGGCATTAGGGCAGAGGCCCTGGGAAGCTGTACTTGGACTGAGATGGCCCCAAAGTGGCTACTGTTTTCCAGCATCTAACTTGCACAGATTTTGAAAGGGGGTTCGTATACAGGGGTACATATCTGGGCTCCATCTTAGGAGCTGAGGAGAGTCGAGCCTGGTGCTCTCTGAAGTGCTACCGGAAGAACAAGCTTTCTCCATGCCCAGCCCATGGGGTCTGCAAGAGCAATAGGCAGGCTGGGAGGCATTCAGCTCAGGGTGTCTTCTTAGGTTTTAATGGCACACGTCATTGTAGGCATGTTTTAATGGCATTAGGTTTTAATGCCACTGCAGTCATTCAGAAAATAAGCCTGAGCTACTACCAGGCTCCTCTTGTTCCTGCCAGACGGTGTTTTAGAGAGAACCCACAAGCTGTTCCATGGAAGCTTTAATGCATCTGAATTAGGAGGACTATGAATACCATGCCTGAAAAGGCCAGCGTAAAGATTTTCATTGACATCTGCAGGGCCAGGATTTGGTCCATGGACTAGAGAAGGCTTACGAGTCACCCTGATCCGAATAAGCCAGCAGTTCTTGGAAGCTCCTACACCCGAAGCCCTTGCAGTGCGGGCACCTACTGCAATGGTAGCTCAAGACACAAAAGAGATGCTTGAATAGGACATACTACTGGGTGAAATGACAGGCACCTCAGTTACCAGTCACCAAACCTGGAGGACACAGCCAGGTCGCAGGAAAAGGATGGAAAGCCACAGAATTTGAGGATAGGGGTTCCAGCATTTGCTCCGGTTCATGACTCCAGCATTAACAACCCCAGCTTCCCTGGGCTACCAGACCTGCCTCCCAAAGCAGAAGGTAGATGTCCCAGGCTTCAGCCTCAGAATCCAAGCTCCCAGTACGAGGCTACAATAGGATGTGCAATCCTCCCCTGCCCCTGTATCACACCCCTGCTGCCTCTGCCAACACATTAATTCAAACCGGGGTGCAGGGAAACCCCCTAAAAGCTGCAAGTGATGGCCCCTCCTGGCACAAAGCATTTTGGCAGCCCCGCAGCACTATGGCATCGCTGTCCCTGGCCCCACGGTGAGCTTGTATCGTTCTGCAGCTCCTCGTGGTGACTCCAATTAGAGCTGCCCCCTCAGCGGGCATCTGGCGGTCCCCCCGCCTCTCTCCAGCACTCCTCCAGGGGGGCTTAAAAATTGAAACAGTTCTAATTAGGGGGTCTGAGGAAGAGCGAGGCTGGCTCCTGCTGGGATATGACACACCTCATTACGTCGCTACCGCCTTGCCAGAGGACCCCCTGCTGTACCTTGGCTATAGAGCCAGGGCACTCAGAAAGGATGCAAATTAGCCAGCTTTTCCCCTTCGTCTTCCTTTCACACCCCACTCCCCAAATCACTTTCTGCCTCCCTTCCCCATCAGGACACCAGGCTGCGAATTCTTCTCAGCTCTTCCAATTACATCCAAGATATAAAAAGGGAATGGAGAGAGTCGACAGACAAAAAAGATGGCGATAACACCACAGCAGAGGGATGAGAGTGAAAGACTGAAGTGGGAGGAAGGAGTGATCCAACATGGGGAGGGGACATTGCACAGTACCTCTGGAGATAACATGGTATCTGCTCTCCAGATAATGAGCAAGGGGTAAACTTTGGGGGTCTCAGACACAAATAGAGGGGTCTGGGAAAGATAACAGGTCCTTGATTGCCTAACTGCCCTGAGAAAAACACGTTCAGAAGAGGCCTTCCATGCATGAAGTTCTGGCAGATGACCGGGACCTTGGGTGGAAGAGATTGGAGAAGACAGATCAGGAGGTTTCCCAGCTCAGCTAATAGCCACCCTCCTGCAGAACAACCGGATAAATGTCTGCTCCAGCACGCCCAGGTGGACCGGGTGGCAGACCTGTGTGACACGTCAGCCAGGTCCCACTCCCAGCTCCACCCGAAAGACGTGGAGGAAGGCAGGGCAAGGTTGGTCCATTCTGCCCCTCTTTCTGGGAGCCTTTATGGGGGATGGAGATGACTGACTGAGTGCGGTCATAGGGAGCTGTAACCTTGGCATTAGACCCAAGACACAGGGACTTCTCTAAGAGTATGTCCAGCCAGGTCAAAGCTAGACGAGCCACTTCTCTGCCAGCAACCACAGGAAATTTTGAAGCCAGACTGAGGGGTGGTGGGTTCATCCCCAGCTATCAGGTACCTCACGTACCAGCAGAGGCTATGAGACCTTCACAGTACCTCACCTCACAGTGAGATGGTCTCTGAGAAGAATGAGCTCTAACACCTTCGTACCCAGGAAGGCTACCAGAGAAGGAAGGAAGATGTCTTCCTGCTTCTGCTCAGGTGGGTCAAAAGGAAAATTGAAGGAACAGGCATAGCCATGGAGCACTGCTGAAGTAAGAGATCTTCTCACCATGGTGACAGGAGGCCAGGGGAAAAGGTTAACCTGGAACCTAAATTAGGGTTTCAGAAACATAGCTGTGTCCCTCTCTTATCAGTTTATTAAAGCCATCTTAATTTTCTTGAGTGTTCCTGAAGAACATTACCATAATCCTTTAATCCCACCTCTCCCTGGAGTGCCTGTAATGAGGAGATGGGCACATGGCTTAGCTGAATGGGGACAGCCAAGCAGGAGAGGCCACACTGCAACCGAGGGACAGAAAGACGGGCAGAGCTTAGCACACAGGCTGGGCCAACTGCCCGCTCATCGGGACTCTGTCCCCGGCTTCACCTCCATGCACGTGCATGTCAGGTGAGGGGTGCTGGCCACACGAGTCCCCAGCGTGACAGAGATGTGTGTGGCAAGCCGGGCTAAGGGCAAGCATTAACCTGGCTGTGACCCTCTTCTGGTCAGGCCAGGCAAGACAGCAAGAAAACCGAAACACGCCCCAGCCTGAGTCTATCTGTGTGGCACGACAGACCATGGGAACTCATCCCTATGCTGGCCCAAGACAGGTCACCGAGGTGGAGGCCACTTCCCTCAATTTCTCATCTTGCACAAGGTCCCCAGCTGAGAGACGTAGTATGGGAAGGGCACAGATCTGGTTTCTCTTGTACTGGAGACATCAACTGGAAGGCCAGCATGTCTCTGTAGCAACGATAAACCTCACTAACCAGCATGTCCACTCTTTGCACCAAGCTAGCAGTTGTGTCCTGGAGAGCTCTACCCTCCACACACGGTTCAGTTGAGGAGATGCTCCCCTTGCTGCCTCGGGCAGGCCAGCTTTGCTGCAGGAAGCAGCTCTGACCTCATGAACACATTTCCATCATGTAAGTGAGACTGGATCTACAGCACGCTCCCTGTGATGCTCATCCCAGGAGCACGTTCTTCTGGTGGCATCTCCACCTTGAGTTTACCAAGGGATAAGAACACCACAGAGAAACGCCTGCTCGTTTGTCCCCAGTAACCCATGAAAGCAGCCATTCCTGAAAAACTGCCATCTCCACCAGGGACCCAGCAGCACTGAGCTAAGTGATCTGGCTTTTCCCCCTGCAGCCCACCTGGGGAAATATCTGTGTCCTCTGAGCCCTGCAGTGAGATGCTGCCTGGCCAGGGCTCCTCCATCCATCCAGGTCAGCCTTGCCACCAGCCCCAGGCTTACCGCTGGGATGCTGGCAGGATGCCACCGCCCCCCAGTTCTCCAGACACTTATTAAGATGTAAAATGTGGCACTTTTGCCAAGCCCTCCACCCTTTTTTTCCTCCCCATCCCCTCATTTCTTTCAAGTGCTTCGGCACTTAGCGAACTCCCCTCGGCAGGCTCATGCTGTTTGAGGGATTCCTAAATCATGGGCCTATTACTAATTATTATTATTTTGCAGCATCAATCAGGGACGCTGGGCTCATTAACAAGTTAGCACCTCTGGTTTCCCTGGAAACCCGCAGCTGCCAGGCAACGG